GGTGTCTGACAATTTACCAGGTTTTTCTTTCGTTACAATTTAGCATACTGACAAATTGCATAGAACTACTAAAATATGCCCAGAGGAGACCACCTCCTGCCAGCTTAAATCAGATGAGACCCTTTTCTGGTACAGCATATTTTGCAATTAAATATTCTTGTCTTCTGAGGGCATGCTGTTTTCACTTTTAGTAGGTGACTTTTAGAAAAGTTTTTGTGTCCAAAAGCTGACCTGGCTTTCATATGCTCTTTGGAGATTTCCATAAAAGTAAAAAGCCAAGGAGTGCTAGTAAGGCATTGAAAACTTCACAACAGAAACTTGGAAATTGTGGCTGCATTTACTGAAGCAGTGACTGTAATACTGGCTTACCCTCATTTTCTGTACCTTTTTTGACATACCTCAAGGTAGATTCATAACACATTGTGGACCAGTGACGCAGATTTGCGTCTATACCTTAAGGGGGAATGTTTCCAGAGGTATCACACCCTCAAGCATTACTAGGGTCTCTGGTGAGTATTTCCTGAAAATTTCAGTTCACAAAAATAGCGAATTTGTTATAAATTTTTAAAGAAACACAGTATAAAAGTTGATTTAAGTGGTTTAAGCTCCGGGTACATGCATTTAAACAATTTAAATGCCCCGTCCTCAATTTAAGATGATATTCAAAGACCTTTATTATCTAAGTCAGTAGTTGGCAGCCTGGCTGCACATTAGAATCACCTGCATTTTAAAATATGGATGGATGCCTGGCTCAATTAGATCACAGATTTCTAGAGGATGGGGTCTGAGTATCTATATTTTCAAAAGCTTTCTAGATGTTTCTGATGTGGTTGAAAACCACTACCTTAAACCTTAAGGGATTATTTCATGATAAGAGATAGCACAGTTTAGTGAGAAAAGCTTGGGCTAATTTAGAAACAGAAATCTTGAAGTTCTCATTTTACCACTTACTGGCTATACAACTTTGTAGTTAAATTCTGAGGCTACATATCATTTATAAAGTGGGAATATCCTCACAGGATATAATATATAATATAATCCTCACAGGATTATATCAAATGAGAATACATGTAAGCATTTTATAAAATAATAAAATGTTATTCATAAATACACAAAAGATATTGTACTTAAGATTCTAGTGTAACAAACCAGTGTGGCAATTTCCCCCTCATAGTTCCCCCTCATTTCCTTCATATTAACTATCATCTTAATCTGGGCTGGCCCTATATACAAGTTGAACACAAAGATATTTTATGGGTTCATTTGAGGAATACTGACAGGCCCAACAGACTAAAATATGTCAGCCTATTAGGGCCCACCCAGAATTCTTACCATGAATTTGGTTGGCTTCCCCCCAGCCTGGTCTTTGGGTGGCATTTTTTGAGGGACAGAATTTAGCTCCAAAATCCATCCATATGTTTATTTCTTCAATGCAGATTTTGTCCTTCAGAAGACTAGGAAAATGTATATAATACATTGTTTTGCTTCTAGGCTAAAAGTTAGGTGTTTTATAGTGAATTAATTATTAAACATTTGTATAGAATTTAATATTGAGTGCCTACATCTGCTCGGTACCATTCTAGGCCCTTGGTATATGGTAGTAAACATAACCAAAAACGATCATATGGAGCTTAAGTTTTAGTAAGATTTGTGTACCATAAACTCAAATAAAATGAAGATTATGTTTAAATATAACATGAATGGTATGTTCAGTTTATACCTCTTAATTTTTCAGGGGTTTTAAACTAATGGCAATGTATTTATAACTGAAGTTGAATTATCTTTTGTGAGTAACTAAATTTAGTTTACTTATCTTGATGAATTTTATTGCAGTATTTGTAGGTGAAAAGATACATACATATATATATATATATATATATATATATATATATGGATAGAGATTTTTGCCTTTAATTTTTATAAATAAGCAACTGTTTTATGTAAACTTACTTGAGCCTTTTAAATTGCCGTGGGTAAACAGCTGTTTGAGGGTAGTGGGAAAGGGGTTGGGTTGTCAGTGTTATTAATGATTTGGGGTCACAAATCATTGTCCTGAAGTGATAACCATTCATAAACTCAAACCCTTTATATTAGGCTCTCTGAACCACGGTCAGTTTTTCTTTCCTTTGTTGCCATACTAGTTTAAGAAGACATCTGTTATATATTACTCTATTACCATCTACTTTCTCACTTTCTCTTATATTTCTCAAAATTAGAATTAAATATGTAGAGAATACAAGGAGTATTGTAACAAACCGCAGAAATGGACCTCAGGTTCGAAGTCTGGGCCTGCTGAGAAATGCTTCTGGAAGCTTGACTTTTATGTACTCTATGTCACAGTAAACACTCAGGAATTTGTTGAGGTTGTTTTGCATCACTTGCTTGCACCTGGTGAGTAAGCAGGGAATGTAGCCAATGTCCCCAGAAGAGTCAGATGAAGCAAGGAGAATAATCTGCTTCCTGTTCCCCTCCTGCAGTGCAAAGTGCATTTGAACCTTCACTCTGTGAGGGTGTTATCAACCACAGATGTACGTCACTTGGGAGAATGTACAGTATTCTGGTATGGACATGCTATATTATCTTCTCATTTATATAACAGTCTTAGTCTCCATTAAAGCAATTTCTCATTCTCGGTGTCACTTGGCATCTTTTCCTCAATCACCTCTATTCCATTTTGACAATTACAGAGCAATACCTGGAATTAAAAACCATTAGTAATTAGTTACATTTGCTTCCCTCTGTATGTAAAGTCCCCTTTGACCACTATCCCCAGTCATGTTTCGTCTACTCATTTCTACTCCACTATCACAAATGGGTTTACATTTTTCCAGTCTTCTTTGCTTAATACATATATATATTTATAGCATATATAATAGTTTTTTTTGTTTCTAAAATTTAAATTAACCTACATTTGCTTTTTAAATATTGTTTTGAGNCCCCTCAGGAATAAGCTTTCGCACTAGAGCATCCGATCCCTTGCGGGGGTTGTGTAACTCCACAAAATGAGCTCAGACGCGGCAGAGGCTGGCCCCAGCGCCGAGGGCTTCACCAGGCGCTTCTGCCATCCCACACCCCGCCACAGGGACCGACGCCGCGGCCAGGGCTGGGTCCCCGACCACAAATGGCCCTTTAGCCCAGTCCCCTCTCCTGGCTCGGTGCCCCACCTGAGGGCAAGAGCTGAGGAGAAAAGAAACAGGTATGGAGGGCTGACCTTGTTGCTACTGACAGTGGAGCGGCACATTCTGCTGCTTCCTGGAAAGCGGCCCAAAGGACATTTTTTCCCCCTGGAGGAAGGAAACGGGAGGGCGCCGCCCGGGCGGCAACCGGCGCGGCGGCGGTGGTCGGGACCCGCTGTGCAGCCTCTAGCGGGAGACGGTCCGAAGACTACATCTCCCAGGCTGCTCTGAGCCGCCTTGCGTCGTGACCCCGGCGCGCAGGGAGGCGGTGACTCTTACCTCACAGAGGTAGCTCCTCCGCCGGCAGCAACTCGGCACCCGCGGTCCATGGACCGGAACCCCGGGCCGACGGGCAGGAACCCGGGCCGCGATCGTCGCCTCCCCGCCCCAGGCTCCTCCTCCTCGCTCCCCACCGCCTCCTCCGGACGCCCGCAGGCAACGCACTGCAGCCTCCGGGCTCGCGGAGCCGCCCCGAGAGGTTGGGCGGCGGGTTCGCGGCTGTCACGGAACTGAGGCCTACTCCGCGGTCTCTCAGTGCTATTGTCCCTGGGCCCGGCCCTGACCGGGTCCACCGGAGAGGCGAGTGCGCCGGCTCCGCAGAAAATGCCGGATCAAGCCCTACAGCAGATGCTGGACAGGTATGGGCAGCTTTGGGGGAGCACGCGAGCCGCGGACGGCCGCTCTGGCCCCGTCCGCGTCCGTCCTCGAAGCTCTCCGTAAGCGGAGCCAGGCGTGCGGGGAGGAGTTCCACGGCCTGGGGGCCGGGTGAGGGGCAGAAAGTTTGGAGTCCGGACTCGAGGGAGGACAGAGCCGGCGGCCTGTGTGTGTAGACCTAAAGCGAAACTTACTTAAAGGAGTGGTGTCTAGTTTTGTTGGAACGCCGTTTTGAAATGAGAGGGACTGGCGTTTAACCCACAAAATTAGTTTCTTTTTCTGTTTCTTACTCTCCCTCCCCTCCCCCTAAACTATGTTGTAACGTGTTTGTCAGCGATGTCACTGACAAGAAGAACCAGGCTACCTTTCAGGGGAATCCTCCTCCTATAATTTTAAGATTCCAAAAACCAAGGATAAGCCTTCTTTTGGAAAGTCAATAGGCTGACTTCATCCCTCACTCCCCCCTCATTCCATCCCTACCCCTACTCTGTAAGGTCAAGAGTATCCGCAAGGGAGCTTTAATGGTCAGACCAGAGTAGAGGTTATGGAAAACAGCCACATGAGTCCAACAGTGAAGACTAAGCGTATTTTACAATATGTTCAGTTCACTGAGAAAGTTTCATCTTATGCAGGGGCCTGTTGCCCATTCCTGGGTGGGGGGCTACAGTCAGTAAAACTCTTTTTGTGAAATTGGCTGCATCGCCCTCTGCTGTTCAATTTCTAGTCCATGGGTTCTACCATGATTTGGGGGAGCCTTTATCCACAGTTGTCCCCTAGCCAGGTCTTAACTTCCAGGCATAGCCAGTGCTACAAGCTAATGCATAATGTTTGTGGTTGATTGTAACTCTCGATGGACCACTTGCCACCCAGTTCCACAAGTGGTACAGCTCTTTGTGCTGAGTAAAAGTCCAGCTGTAAGATTTTAAATAAAAGGCCTCCCTTAATTGAGGTTATACCCAATTAAACTTCTGTTTGGATCTGCCACACCCAGAACACAAATCACCCAAGAGTACATCTCCTCCTAGAATGAAACATTCCCTTTGGAGCTTAGAATTTTGAGACATCTAAGTAAATAGAAATCATGTTACTGACTTTTTTCGATTGGGGTGACCCAGTGATTAATCCACCTGACCTTGAGGTCATGATTTAGGTCAGGTTATATTGACTACTTTTTTATGTAAGCAGTCTACAAGCTCCTGGAATGCAGACATTTATTCATTATTTATCTTGAATTTTAGAACAGAGCCTGGTACTCTGTGGGTCATCAATAAATATTTGTTTTATGAACAAATGCATAACTTTTTTGGCATTTTCCCCACTTGTCTGGGCCGGGGGGGGGGGG